TCGACGTTTGTTAAAATGTTTTGTTCACCAGATCTTCATGGTGAAAACGGCACTAGTTTTAAACTTCAATGCTAAACTGCTGCTCATTCAATTTCTTCATCGCTATAGTGCGTCTGCGTTATTGCCAATAACCGAAGCCATAAATACGGATCAGTTTCATTACCCACTTAGACACGGCAAAGTTCTAGTATAACATCCAATTTTTTAAGCCATATACATCCTTAAACCAAATTACAGTTAGTTGAAGTCAAAACTAAAAGAATCGTTTATGTAAGAAAAAAAGTCAAGAAACGAACAGGATATGCATTTCAGAAAAGTATTCGTTCATATGAGTGGCACGTATGTATTCTTGTAAAAAATTTTTTATGCCGAGTAATAGTGGTACTTATTGTCACACCATCATCGTTGTTGAAGAGTGGGCCATACGTTGAACAGGCCATAGGCTGTATTTGTTTTTCTTTATTTGTGAACCAAACGTGCAACAACCTCCTAAACTATCAGGGTATGAATCTTTCGTTTCTTCAACGTGCGAGGAACGCAGCAAGGTAGTTGTTTACATTCGCACAGATTTCACATATGTGCATCATGCAGTTCAACCGCATGATGACAATCAATATGTCTGCTTACGTGTTAAAAAGGAAAAAGTGTCATTCACACTCATTGGTGTCTACATATCACCATCCGGACGATTTGAACAAGACCGACTACGAGACATACTGACAACAACTACGGGCCCGTGGGTTATAACTGGAGACATCAACGCACATCACTTAATCTGGGGTAGTTCGACGATCAACGCTAAAGGAAGAAACCTCGTGTCATTCGCTTCCAAGCATGACCTATGTTTGTTAAATGATGGCAGTCCTACATACCTGCGGGGCCTTACGTACAGCAGTTGCCTCGATTTGACTCTGGTATCCAGAAACTTCCGGTCGCAAGTGCACTGGTTTTCAGACATCGAAACGCATGGGAGTGACCACATTCCAACCTATATGCGAATAAGGGGTCTTACTAACTCCTTTCCTAAGACCACAATACGAAAAATTGATTGGTCCAAGTTTCAGCGACTCATGGAAAATACATGCCGTGAAGACCCTGACCAGAACTTGGAGGATGTCATCAAAGAGGCAATGAGGGAAGCTTCCTGTCTCCTCCCGTTCACCGGCAAGCGTTCAGATTTCGACGTTGAACTGGAAAAACTGTGCGCGCTTCGCCGAAGGGCGGAAAGAAGATACAGGCGGACGAAAGCAATATGCGACTTGAGGCTGGCACGACGCATACAGAAAAAAGTCCAACGACGTTTAGACAAACTTGCACAGGAACGCTGGAAATCATTCTGCGAATCATTGGATCCCCGAAAGCCGTTGTCCCGCATCTGGAGCACTATTCGTGGCCTGCGCTCGGCTCCCCAACAAAGACATCCTTTCATGGCTTTAGCCCTACATTCAGGCCACACCCAACTTGAAGTGGCAAATGAGTTTTGTACGCGAATCGCCGGTGTGTCCGCCTTGTCTGCTGGCACCATTAGGAGTGTTATCCCTGAACCCCGCATCTACGAAATGGACAATCCTTTCACTATAGAAGAACTTGACGCATCTTTGGCGGCTTCCCGACGATCATCTTCACCAGGACCCGATGGCATCACCTACGCCGCTCTAGCCAACCTTCAACAGGAGGCAAGGGGACAGTTGTTAAGCTATTACAACCACTCATGGCTGGCGGGCAATGTTCCCCAGGATTGGAAGATAAGTAGACTTGTGCCACTACTCAAAGCAGGAAAGTCACCATTTGATTTGACATCATTTCGCCCTGTTGCCCTCGCAAGTTGCGTAGGAAAAGTCATGGAAAGGATGATACTTACACGCCTAGAATGATACCTTGAGCGGTAAAACGTATACCCAAACTGCATGACGGGTTTTCGGCGAGGTAGGTCATCTCTTGACAACGTGATTGATCTCACAACATTTATCCAGCAAGAGAAGAGCCTCAAGCGCATACCACTGGCACTCTTCCTCGACGTCAAAAGGGCTTATGATAACGTAACACATAAAGCCATCCTAGACTCGTTGGAAGCTGTTGGAATCGGTGGTCGGATGTTCCAATGGATCCAGGATTATTTGACAAGAAGGTCTTTTTTTGTACAAACCTCAGATGGACCTACCACCAATTACTATATCTCCCGTGGCGTCCCTCAGGGCGCCGTATTAAGTCCCACTTTATTTAACCTCGTGATGGTAGGACTTCGTGAAATTTTGCCAAGTACCATCCTCATATCCATATATGCTGACGATATTTGTCTATGGACTTCGGCTGTAACTCGTCTACAAGTACGTGCAAGAGTCCAGCAGGCTGCCACCTTGACATGCTCATATCTCCGCAAGCAAGCTCTTTCCGTCTCAACGGAGAAATGTGCATTGGTTGCGTTTACCCGCAGAGCCATGACACAATACCCCGTTACCATCAATGGACAAAATATTCCATACCAGAAGAACCATCGCTTCCTGGGTGTGATTATTGACAGGGACCTTTCGTGGAGTGCCCACTGCAATTACCTGAAGAGAAGGCTAACTTCCATTGTCCATATAATGCGGTTCCTCTGCGGAAAATCTTGGGGCGCATCGATAAGGTCAATGATGCAGCTATACAGAGCACTGTTTCTGGGATTTTGCGCTACAGCTTGCCGTTACTGGCAAGTACGTGCAAGACGAACATCCGCACTCTCGAAAGTCTGCAAGGACAAGCACTACGCGTGTGCTTAGGATTGCCGCGATGCACCTCAACCTACGGGGCAATTATGATCGCAAGAGAGCATCCAATTCGAACATACATCACCACTGACAATTTGAGAGCCCACATAAGACACCTCTGCCGAGTTCCTGGTCACCATGTTGCAGTGTTGCTACTTCAAAGACCACACGCGATCTTTTCAAAGATTATTTCTGCCCATAGAGAACGCCTCCCTTTTGGCTTCACTCCCGCAACAAGACCAGCGTCACCCCCGTGGTGCCTACAACAACCACAGGTGTGCCTCACTATTCCGGGAATAACGAACAAGAGCCATCATCCAACAGTGGTCCTACGACAGGTGACATTGTCGCTACTCAACGAAAAATACGGCCAGAGGACCCACATTTACACCGATGGATCGGTCTCGGCTGACAGCTCCACAGGTGCTGTTGTCATCCCGGCGTACCAGGTCACTATAAAGCTCAAACTGTCGCATAGGACAACATCCACAGCAGCGGAGCTTGCCGCCTTACGTGCTGCTATACTTTATATCGCGGAAGCCCGACCTCAAAAATGGGCTGTGTTCTGTGACTCCAAGGCATCCCTTCAGAGCTTGCAATCAGCTTTACGACAGCGGGAGCACCAACAACTAGTGAATGAAATAAGAGAAGTGATTCACGAAGTTTTATCGAAAGGACATGACTTGGTGTTCCAGAGGTTACCGGGACATTGTGGTATTGTCGGTAATGACCTTGCTGATAATGCTGCCCGATCCGCCCACGCGTACGCCCAGACAACCCCAATTCCATTGTCGAGAACCGACGCTGCAAGGGGCCTTCACTCGCTCGCTAACACCATGTCGGAAACTTGGCTGAGTGACCCCAGTGTCAGGAACCGCCGCCTACACAAATTGGACCCATCGAGAAAGCTTCAAGTTCCATCGGACCTCTCCCGCCAGGATGCAACTTTACTGTGCCGCCTGTGGTTAGGAGTAGCTTTTACAAAGGCGTACTCCTTTCGCATAGGAATGGCGGATAGCTCCCGATGTGAATCGTGCGACACTGACGAGACAATAGAACATCTACTGTGTTCATGTGAACGTTTTGCGAGCGAACGCAATCTGCTACGCGAAACGTTGGAGACACTAGACAGTAGACCTTTTTCCGAAGAGAAGATACTTGGCTCATGGCTCTACGCGTCGCTGGCCAGCAAAGCGACGCGGGCACTGCTAAGTTTTCTGAAGACGACCGGACTACGCGACCGCTTATAAGCGTGCAATGGACAAAGTCCCACCAACATACACGTTGCCCTTCACTTCTCTCTCTCTTCTCCTTTAATCCCCTCACCCCTTCCCCCAGTGCAGGGTAGCAAACCGGACGTGCGTGTGGTTGACCTCCCTGCCTTTCATTTCTTCCCTTCCTCCTCCTCCTCTTCCTCCTCCTCCTCCTCCTCTTTATTTGTCACCAGTGTACCTTAAAACATGAAATAAATAAAATAAAAAAAGGCCTATTCCTGCATAGGCTCCAGGATTGGTCGGTGCAAAGGACGTGTCTGGTGCCCCATGTTAGTTGGTTCCCCTGGGCGGTAGCCAAAGACGCGGAGGTGGCGGATGCGGGCCTCGTGAAGGCACGAACAGGTACTGTGTGGGTGATCCAGAGCTGCCTCTGTAGCAGGGGCCAGGCATAAACCCAAGCATCAAGGACACGCCGTTACCGGCGTGGGATCCGCAATGGAATGATTGTGTGTTTAAGGAAATCACGTTGCGAGAATTTCTCATGTGTAGCGGTCTCTGTAAGAATTATTATTATTAAACGCGTAGCCAGGGTATTTTATTGATTATGTTTTACTGATCATGCCAATAGCGTTGGAAGCAAAGTATTCCTAGCTCAATTGTATTTTTTTCTTCCCAATAATTGCATTCGTTTGTGGCTACCTATGAGATAGAGTTCTGTTCGGCATCCGTTAGCAAAGACTGGCGTGGAATCATACTGGACCAATTGACACATTTCTACGAGACTATCATTGGTTGTTCAGGAATTACTCATAGGGCATAATATTTTTGACCAGACTGAAGTTGGCACATTGCTTCCTTCTCATTGGCGTTTTGTGGCTATTAAGACAGGGTTCTTCTAGAATTTCGTGGCCACCCGGAGGAAGAAGCCTTACCTAAGAGGTGGGCGTGCGTCATGATATTCTGTGGTGTGTGTCGAAATAACGCGCCCATGCTTGTCTTGCAGGTGAACAGCCTTTTCACGGAAAACAGGTGTCACCAGTAGAATGTGAAGACATTTTTTTATTCAGAAAGGAATTTAATTAGGACCGAGCATGGTGTAGGCGAGGTCTGCATTAACGGCACATTTTGGCTCCTCGTTGTTCTTGTCCTGCGGGAACATGTATGAAGATGTCTTTAGAATGAAAAAAAGCAAACAAACATAAGCCTACTAATGACAGAAGCTTCGTAGGCGAGGTCTGCATTAACGGCAAATTTTGGCTCCTCGTTGTTCTTGTCCTGCGGGAACATGTATGAAAATATTTTTAGAAAGGAAAAACAAACAAACAAACAAACAAACATAAGCCTACTATGACAGAAGCTTCGTTTTTTATAGAAGAAATTTACTTGAGAAAGATAATTAGTTAATTATTATGCATGCTTCAGGCATTACTTGAACACTCAATTTTCATGGTGTTCGTTTTTATTACCGTTGGGGAAATCGCGCAGCTGTCATCTTGAATTTTCGGTCAATATGATAGCTGACAATTAAAGCCGCCACCTTTGCAACAAGAGAAGTTTTAAAGCATGATCTCGCATTTGGGTTGTTTCAGAGCAGGAAATATTGTAGAAACTTGCCATGTTGTGCTTATAGGTTCGTTAGAGTTCTACCTTACCTTTTGAGCAATTACGTCCAAGAAATGTTATCAAAATGCCGACATCATGACCGATTCTCGCTGGTAGTGGGGCTTACTCATATTTTGTGGGTTTTGTATAAGTAAAAAAAAGATAACTTAAAAAAATACTGCGAAGTATGTTTTCACTGTATTGAATAATCACAAGCACTACCGCTACAAAAAAGAAAAAAAATCATAACATAGTACGTATGTTATGAAATTTTCAATAGACGAACACTTTTACGCCACTACATACCAATCAGGGCAAGCATTGTTCCCATTCATTATATGTCGCTTTTTAGGACACCATGCGACCATGTTTGAAAACATATCACTTGCAGAAATTTAAGAAAAACTTGCGTAATTTATTCCAGTTATGATTCGCTTACCGGCAACTAATAGGTACATATTCAATTATCATTCATATCCCAAAAACGTTTTACTTTTTATTATGTATAATATCAGTGCTACTGTTCAATTGGCTAATTACGCATATATATTACTCCAACTAATTTACAGCTACAATATTTATGTTATTTGGTTGTAAAAATGTAAGGTCTCACGTAGTTACTTCATCAATTATGCGGATTTCGTCACACATTTTCTCCCGCTCCTTGTACAGAAGTTTTTATAACTCGTTTATTCTTTGTATGTTGTGCTTATGTTTCGACCGAGCAGGCATAGGTTTCAGTTCGTGACCTCTCTGTATCTAAAAATGGTTTTTAACTTAGTTCTTGTAATAAAATTTCAGCCGAACAAACAAAATACACCCATAGGCACTCAAGTAGACGGTATGCACCTAAATCACATAACTGTGCCAACAGTCTGAGCACGAAAAGCTTCAGTACCGAGGGACACTTCCATGCAGATTTTTTTGGCTGTTACAGGAAAGGAATGGAGAAAAAAGAAACCGTAAAGTGAAGTGGAATATTTTTTATAGGAGCCATGGAGTCGTAGGGGCCATCCAAGGTGGTCGCTGGATTGGATCCCGGCTGCGGCGGCTTCATTTTCGATGGAGGCGGAAATGCTTTAGGCCCGTGTGCTCAGATTTGGGATCACGTTAAAGAACCCCAGGCGGTCTAAATTTCCGGAGCCCTCCACTACGGCGTCTCTCATAATCATATCGTGGTTTTGGGACGTTAAACCCCATATATCAGTCAAATAATTGAGCCAACCTGGGTGCCCGTTCACCTCACGGAGACGCGGGGGAGGGGCGCGTGTACACGTGAGTGGAAAGAGCGGTACCTTCGCACCAAAAATAAAGACAAACATTTTACCTTGCGTAGGTGGTAGAAGCCCCTACAGAAAAGCAGGGGCGTGCATACCTAATCACGGGATGAAGCCGATCTTATCGAGCTCTTGATAGGTTGGGCTGCCGACCACGCCCGCTGCTTGGTTAAAGCCGTAACCGGCGACTCCAAAAGAGTGCTGGTCTCCGCGGTTGAACTCGTTTTGACCCTCGCTGCCCTGGAAGAATCCTGACCCATAGCGATTGCTGCTCTTCTCCGAGAAGCCCTCCTGCTTTCGGAAGCCACCCTGATTCTCGAAGCCTTCGACCTTCTTGAAAGCATCACCGGCCTCGGCTGCCTGACTGCCTTGCTGGGCTCCTTGCGCCGCCTCGCTGAATGCCTCTTGCCCAGCAGCCTGCTGGTGTGACTCGTGCTCGTAGCTTGGTCCCGACAAGACACCTGAGACGGGAGGCAACGCTGCATTGGCAGCTCCTGCACCGACCGACGCGACGATGGGAGCTCCGGGAGCACCGTTTGCGTCTCCCACAGCCGCTGCCGCTGCCGCATCTGAAGCTCCTGGGAGCGAAAAAAAAATTGATTGAAAATGATGACTTCATTGTTGTTGTTTTATTAGCTGTGTTGCGCGCGTGTGAGAAGGCAGGGAACATTGTGACCACCTGGACTATTGCTCGGTTAAAATATTCCGAACGCTTATTTGACCATGAGTGCATAGACATATTAAACGAACGAACAATAAATAAGTATGCAGAAATATTGAATAACTGCCAACAGATCAAACGAAGTACAACAAGGACAAGTGATCGTATGCACGCGCGTTAGCGTTCATGGGAAGGATAAACAAAGCATCCCTCGGCGTGAAAGGTTTTTATGATTGTCATCTCATCAAACAAACAATAGACAGAAAACTAGCCGTTTGGGCTGGTGCATCTGTAAGCCCCTTCGCATCTTCAAGGGTGTTTCAAACAAGCAAGAAATCCTTTTGCCAAATAAAAATTACAAAGTAAGGATGTAAATGTGTTTTGTTTTCACAAAAACCCTTTAATATGTGATGTCCAAGCCAAAACACCATTTAGGAATGAAAGGTGTTTTGGGTTATTGAAACACCCATGACCCATACAACAACAAGCAATATATGATAGATGGTACTTGTTGAATAAAACGTCGTTGTATATTCGGTAAGCTTTTAAAAAGATACGTCGCTTTCAGGGCTATCTACAATGATACCATAAATTTTGGCCAATAATCTTAACGTATAGTGTTAATTTATACGCAACAAGAATATTCCCTCCGGCATTGAACATCGCCTTAAGATACTATCACTATATATACCAGAAGGTCACTTTAAAGGTATGCGTAGAGCATGAGTGCTCCGTCTATGGGGTATATTACAAGCTCGTCTGTGTCTATGGCTTGGCGCGGGCGTGCATATTTTATGCTGATGTCATCCGTAAATGCATGTTCCCTGACTTGTAGCTTTCACTTTTCACGTTTTTCAGTGATAAAAAGATTTAAGCCATTGGAAACAACTCATGGTAGGGGTGTTTGAATACGTGAAAACAATCTTATTTTATGATGTAAGTGTAATATTTACAGGTTACAGACACGAAAATATCTTAAGGGTGTAAACTGGTTTAGTGCGATACGGGACCTATGTACTCGCAAGGCTATGTGAACCATGACGAACGCAACACACAAAGTTCAGTGAATACGAGCAGATGCTGTTTTAAGTATTCAATTATTCAATCATATTCCAAATATTTATATAATAGTACACGTCTCAAATCCGCTTCGTAGTGCACAATTCACACCACGGTTTTCTGAGTTAGTAGATATATTGGCGCGTTTCAAACAGGTGGAAGCACCTAGCTGCATTCTGTAAGACACTTAAGTGCTGGCCCTTTGTGCAACAATATTTTGAGCTGTTGCTTCTAGTATGTTGCAGAAGTGTGTAACGTTTTGCTTATTTAGCTATTTACTGTGTCATTCAGCTCCTCTTGGGTATATGAACATCAGTGATTAATAAGTACATATATAGGCAAGCTAGAAATAATATTTCAATTGCCCCCCCCCCCCATAATAATAGTGAATGAAATGAATCGACGTGCTAGAGAAGCATTGCAGTTCTGTTTACGTCATAAGATGTCGCCTCAAGTTTCACGAAATGTGTATAAGCATGAAGGGATCAATACATATGTTTTCAAATTAAATAAGCAGCCTTTACATGCTACCTACACGATGTTTCTCATAAACGTATACCAAAGAACAAAATTTAACCACAGAAAAATATTACAGAAGTTACAAAAGAAGGAAGTTAGAGATTATGACAATGTGCATGCTCCCTACAACAATTATGCACTTGGTAGGATATAAAAATACAAAGCCACAGCGTGGGTATGGATTGGGTACACGCCGAAGGTTAATTACACGTATACGCCGAATTATTTTGTAACAATATTGAGATTCTACAAATAAAGTACTACTTAGAAGGAAGACGCAGTTCAAATACAAATGCATATCTGCAATACTCACATCAACTGAAATGTTCTCGATGGAGTTTGAGAGCTTCAAGAGAGCTTCAATTGAGAAATATGAATTGATTTCAATCATGTGTGAATAAATTGACGTCTATCTATATAAAAGAGTACTTTGATATTCCGACGCGTTAGCTTACGCCAGACGTATATATACCAGCGCCATTTGCTTTGCGTCAACGTGGCCGAATATTGAGACCCTCTGGTGACAGCATTGTGAATGCTAAATAGCCGGGCACTTCATACAGTGAGGTATAGAGAATATTGGGAATACCTCCCGCTGCTACTGGTGCCACTGCCGCTTCTACCGCGTCCTGTGAGGCTGGACTCTCAGCGGAAAGTTGCTTTACGGCACCAGCAATCACTTCAGCTGATTCCTGGGAGGCGACGGCTGACTCGGGGTCTCCAGGCAAAGGATGGCCAGTCACCATAAGAACGCACAGCGCACTGACGACCTGCAGCAGGAATACTTGTAAAGCTCGAGGCACTGTAGCTATCGCCCACTTTTTTCGCAATCGAGGTATATGCATGTTTCCTATCTGTGATTTGGTAGAGTATTACAGAAAAAAAACTTGGTTTCTTTTTTCTGCTGAAGCACTGCAATTTACCGTACACGTGTTTTTCGTATAAACACACACCTCGCTTCTCTCCTGGTGAACAGAAACAAGAAGCTGAGCTACGCATCAGGACCAGCTTTCTCTTGGATTTATATAATAAGTTCTACCTGACACCTTCCGTTTAGCACATATAGTTGTTTTAGCCGACACCAACACTGCAGCATTTCTGTGAAATTGCCTCATCGTTGCTTACAAGAAAGCTGAAAAAGCAGCTTACTGCACAAATTGAATGAAAACAGATAGTAGTACCGACACCTTCTCTTACAGCTTTGCTGTATTAAACGCAGCACGTTAACAAGGTAACATGAGCGATGTTTTCACCTTGTGTTTACGAATAAAGAAGTAAACCTATAGCCAAAGTAAAATGCCGATTTGCACTATCATTCAACTTGGTTTTTGAACAGAAAACAAGTAGGTTTGCATTTATGTTGGTAAACGTAAAGAAAAGATAAGGACAACACCAAATATTACTTTAGTGTTCTGCAAGAGATGGTGTTCTCACGTTTATTGCATGAATTCGGCCCGTATTTCTGAACACTGCTCTTCTACAGAAAGACAATAAACTACCGGAAATGCAAAGTTAAATACAAAAAAAATGGAACTGATTTTAATACCTACTATTTTGCTTGAAATAACTAAATGTTTTCTTGAGCGAAGCATCTTTGTTGCTATCAATAATTATAAAGCTCTGCGTTTGTCGTAGACGACGACAATGTGGAAGAAGTTAAATTATGATCAACAATTATGCAGTTGGTTTACATATGCCTGCAAGCCTTAACAGGCAAACTTAACAATACTTGAGGTTTTACGTCCCAAATCCATGATATGCATAAGAGAGACGTCGTTGGGGACGGCTCTGAAAATTTTCGCCATCTGGTGCTCTTTAACATGCACTAACATCGCGATACACACTGGTCTGTACCATTATGCCTCCATGTAATTGAAACCACCACAGATGACATCGAACCCATGGCCTTCGGGTCAGCAGCCGAGCACCGTAGCTGCCGTTCCCCGAAGTGGGCTTAAAAGGCAAACTTGCGAGGTAAACAAATTTCTATGCGAGTGCGTGTGATTCAAGTACAAGAAACTTGGAAACACGGTTTTCGTCATATTGCACCTTGACGCTAGTGTACGTGCTGGAATGACAGAATGCCTCCGTGCGGGTTAAGTACACTACGGTCCGCAGCACCGGAAGGATCGTCACACCGTTAGGGGGCACTGTCTTCTTTGGCACCGACTGTTAACGTAGTAGGGGGTGCGACGACGTGACGTATCAGCTTGTCGTTGCCTTTACTTAGTTCCTCCGATAGCTCTACTGAATTGCGAGCTACTTGGGGAGCTTTTTCCGGTTATGCTGAGTGCAGTGTGCCAGCAGACAGCCGTTGCGTTTCATTAGAAATGAGGGATCAAGAGAGAAGCAGTGGTAGGTATCGCAAAACTTGTCGTATGGGAGTGGCAGGATGATGCGGACGAGCTTCTCATCGAGATTTTCGTTTTTTCTAGGTTTGTTTTTGTTAATAGCATGCTATCGTGAATGACTTCCCAACAATGGCTTGGCTATGTACGAGGGAGATACGAGGAAATCAAGGCGCGGCGGGAAGGTCTTGTCTTCGTCGGATGTTCGTGGCGGCCGGTGTTGAAACGCCTGAGTGGAGTATTGTATTTTATCGAGTCGCTTTTTTTATTACCGCACACGTGTCCTTAGATGAGACACATTGTTCCGGGGTCTCCGAAACACTGAAACTGTTAGATTACATGTGGTTACTGCCTTACTGCAATTGGTACTGACAATTCAGGTGGAGAAAACGAAAAATGAAATTAAAAACTATCCTAGTGGCTCATGGGTTATTTTCAAACATAATTGACTTCAAACTGTTTCTTGTATACTTGTTAGTAGCATGCAGTCTATACACGCTGTTAATAATTCAAACTATTCCACCATTTTCACCTGGTGGAATAGTTTCCACCATGTGAAAATAGTGAATAGTTTCAATAAGAAATGAAACTATTCCACCATTTACCACCTGGATTTCAGCTCGCATCCTACCGGATTAAGTCTGTGCAAGATAGTACAAGAGAGTATATTTTGTTGTAACAGAACTGACTTTCAATGGCTACAAAATCTCATGATATGGTTATGAGAGACACCGTAGCACAGGGCTCCGAACATTTTTACCATCTGTAGTTCTTTAACCTGCACTGATATCGCTCAGAGTTCTTAGCCGAAGGCCTCTGTTATATTTCAAAATATCACACCATTTCTCGCTTACGAGAACCATGTATGGATGCAAAGAACCACGCATATGGTTCGCTTGAGTGGCAGACGATTTACTTTAATCAGAACTTGTGCTGGCGCTATAACCATAAACTGACAGCGGCGTTGACGACGGCGCTCGTCGCGGCTTTGTGGAGGAGGGAAGCCAGTGGTGGGGCAAACCACGCAGTGATGGACAGGTGTTTTCTACTGAAACATTTGAAGCACTGCTAATGGGCATGATAATCAGAAGATGGCGATTGGACACAGAGACCCGCAATCCCCTTTCAGTTAGCAAGCACGCGGCGAATTCTTATTGTTGAACAACCAATCTAACACCGGCTCCACCTTGGAGGTCAAGGTCCAGTGCACATATATGCGGGTTGGCCAGTGCAGCGCGAACAATCAGTTTTTTTATTGAAGAAAAAAAAAACTCTGTAACAGACGCTGCTTCCGTCGGCGTTGTGAGGCGAGAGAGGGGAACAGAGAAGAGGAGAAATGAGGAGAGGATGTGAATGCACAATGCGGGTGTAAACGCCTCTGGGAGAGATTTCTATAGAGGAGAGAGAGAGGAAGCGAACGTAGGTTAGCGACAAGGAGGTTTTAGAAAATTTTGAAGTGAACGCTTTCACTATGTCTTGACAGCCAATGTGAGATGAACATTTGCCTGGAATTTACCTGAAAACATGCTTTCATGTGGGATATGGAATACCAGATAAAGTTCGTTTGTGGTGCTGCAGTGATTGCTGTAGCTTAGAGAAAGAGTAAGAGATCAGTGCTTCTGACAAAAGAAACAAATATGAATCAGCACAGGTAGCTTCCTCTTCACTAATATTTTCTCAGACTTCAAGGCTTCTAAAAGAAACGGGTAACACTAGGACATAAGCTGAACAATATCTATTCAAATAAATTACTGCTTTAAATTTGTAAGCTACCACTATTTGAGTAAATTCATCATCATCATCATCATCAGGCTGGCTACGTCCACTGCAGGACAAAGGCCTCTCCCATGTTCCGCCAGTTAACCCGGTCCTGTGCTTGCTGCTGCCAATTTATACCCGCAAACTTCTTAATTTCATCTGCCCACCTAACCTTCTGTCTCCCCCTAACCCGCTTTCCTTCTCTGGGAATCCAGTTAGTTACTCTTAATGACCATCGGTTATCCTGTCTACGTGCTACATGCCCGGCCCATGTCCATTTCCTCTTCTTTATTTCAACTATGATATCCTTAACTCCCGTTTGTCCCCTAATCCACTCCGCTCTCTTCTTGTCTCTCAAGGTTACACCTACCATTTTTCTTTCCATTGCTCGCTGCGTCGTCCTCAATTTAAGCTGAACCCTCTTTGTGAGTCTCCAGGTTTCTGCTCCGTAGCTAAGTATCGGCAAGATACAGCTGTTATATACCTTCCTCTTAAGGGATAATGGCAATCTACCTGTCATAAATTGAGAGTGCTTGCCGTATGTGCTCCACCCCATTCTTATTCTTCTAGTTACTTCAATCTTGTGGTTAGGCTCTGCGATTATTACCTGTCCTAAGTAGACATAGTCCTTTAACACTTCAAGTGCACCATTACCTGTCTCGAAGCGCTGTTCCTTTCCGAGGTTGTTGTACATTACTTTTGTTTTCTGCAGATTAATTTTAAGACCCACCTTTCTTCTCTCCTTGTGTAGCTCCGTAATCATGAGTTGCGATTCGTTCCCTGAGTTACTCAGCATTGCAATGTCATCGGCGAAGCGCAGGTTACTAAGGTATTCTCCATTAACTTTTATCCCTAACTGTTCCCATTCTAGGCTTCTGAAAACCTCCTGTAAGCATGCGGTAAATAGCATTAGGGAGATTGTGTCCCCCTGCCTTACACCCTTCTTGATTGGCATTCTGTTGCTTTTTTTATGAAGCACCATGGTAGCAGTTGATCCCCTGTAGATTTCTTCCAGAATGTTTATATATACTTCATCTACGCCCTGATTCCGCAGTGTCTGCATGACGGCTGATATTTATATTGAATCAAACGCCTTCTCGTAATCTATGAAGGCTATGTATAGTGGTTGGTTATACTCTGAGCATTTCTCTATTACCTGATTGATAGTATGAATGTGGTCAATTGTTGAGTAGCCTGTTCTAAATCTTGCTTGTTCCTTTGGTTGATTGAATTCTAATGTTTTCTTTACTCTGTTAGCAATTACCTTTGTAAATAGCTTGTATACTACAGAGAGCAAGCTGATCGGCCTGTAATTCTTCAAGTCCTTGTCATCTCCTTTCTTATGTATTAAGATGATGTTAGCGTTCTTCCAAGACTCTGGTACCCTTCCCATCAGGAGACACCTCGTAAACAGGGTGGCTAGTTTTTCTAACACAATCTGTCCTCCATCTTTCAGCAGATCTGATGTTACCTGATCCTCACCAGCAGCTTTGCCTCTTTGCTTGCTCTCCATAGCTTTTCTGACTTCTTCTATCATTACTGGTGGGGTGTCATCTGGGTTACTGCTAGTTCTTATAGTATTGAGGTCGTGGTTGTCGCTGCTACTGTACAGATTTCTGTAAAACTCCTCCGCTATATTAACTACCCTATCTATATTGGTAGTTATTTTGCCTTCTTTGTCGCT